TTTTTGATTCAGTATAGGCTGTTCTACCCACGTATGACAAAAAATGCGGTAGTCGCCAAACACCCTGTATATGAGCGGATGATCAAATAAATTATTAAAATCGGAAAATTTTGTGAAACTACTCTTAGGCTTATTCGACGCGTTTTTGCATGAAACGATAGAATTTGGCAAAAAAAAACGTCGTTCTGCCTTGTGATCTGAGATATTAAGCGTTAAAGTTGATGACTATATTGAAGTTAGGAAATCTGTCACAGAGGCAAAATGAGGTCTATAATTGTACTGTTCCACATGGGTTTCGACTTTTCACGCGATGCAAAGGGGCGCACGACTTTTATAATTGTACTGTTGCAAAATCGAAACCCTTGTGCATTTTTTTCAGACAGAATAAGCTAAAATGAGCCAGAAATTAGATTCGACGCATAGTGGTTCTATCATGTTTTGGCGTAACAACAAAATAGCGTAAAAAGTATGAAGTGACTAGACAGAAACTGATGTTCAAGTGAAATGATATGATTGGTCGGCGCAAGTTACGCTTACGCAAGTTACGCCGCATGTAACGGCACCCTAAGTTAACTGAATTTGGTGAAAATGGCCCTTAGGCCCAGTTTCACAACTGACGGTTAACTCTTAACCGAGGTTCAACTTATTCATTATCTCTTTTCAATTCTAGAATTGGAAAAAAATGAGAAATAAGTTGAACCTCGGTTAAGAGTTAATCGTGAATTGTGAAACTGGGCCTTAAGCCTTGTGTCCACGATGCTAGAAATCGGTCCAAGATCTCGGATAGAGAAAAAATTAACAAATCACATTTGAACGATTTGATCAAATGACCATTGCGATTGGTCAATGCTTTCTTCATCCGAGATCTCGGACCGATTTCTAGCATCGTGGACACAAGGCTTTAGGCTTGCGTTCAGGAATTACACCCAGGTAATTCTAAGCTATAAGTTACGTTACGTATATTATAGCAAAAATGCACCCTAGAATTGTCCAGGCGTAATTCCTAAACGCAGCCTTAAATGTCTCTAGAATTCTTGTGTCGCTGGTTATGGAAATACCAGGTAGAGGGAGCAATGTAACTGTGAAGGACGACTTGGCGATGACGGCAACAGACGTTGGGAGGGGCAAAGAAGTAGAGTGTGTTGTAAAGGGGGGATTGGCGGAACGACCGGCGTTTCGGAGTTCGGAGAGCGCGTATCGGTAGTTGCGAGACGAGGCAGTCGGTGACGGGTTGCGGTCGTCTAGTGTATCGTAGTGAACGGTTTTGATCGTCTTTTCCTTCCCTCCTTGTGTTCAAAAATGAGCTGGCAGGATTACGTTGATAAGCAGCTGCTCGCGTCTAGGTGTGTTACCAAAGCGGCGATCGCCGGACACGATGGCAATGTGTGGGCGAAATCTGAAGGCTTCGAAGTGAGTAGCAGCTCCAAAAGAATGTACCAAGAAACGGTAGAGAGAGAGAGAGAGGGAGAGAGCGCGAGAGTGCGTGCGTGTGAGAGAGAGAGAGAGAGAGACAGAGAAGGCGAGAGAAAGAATGAATGAGTGAGAGAAAGAGAGAGTGAGTGAGAGGGTGTGGAAAAGGGGCAGGGAGGAAAAGAGGGAACGAGTGAGTGATAGTCGTGAAGCGAGAACGAGGGATAGACAGGACAAATAGATTTGGTAGCACGCCCCCTCGATAAAAGGGAAAGTGCGCGGAATAAAGAGCCCTCCGATAAAGCATGGAGCACGCTTTGTCGGCGCGAGGCGAGGGAGAGAAGTGCGAAAGACGGAGTGTACATGAGCGAGAAGAAGCGAGAGCGCAAGAGAGAGAGAGAGAGAGAGAGAGAGAGAGGACAGATGCTCCGATGAGATTATCCGCGCCGTCCGCGGCCCGCGCGGTTTTCGTTCGAGTTCATTCGGCTCGAGCACGAAACGAAGCAAACGAATCTAACCGGTTCACGGCTCTCTCAAGTGAGCCAGCCGAACTGTGATGGTCACTGTGGAGCGCCGCAATGCGCCGCGCGGCATGCACGTCGACGATCTCGCTTCTAACCCCGAAATGTAATGCCACATTGCCACGTATATATACCTATATGCACGACTGCCGGCCGGCCCCGGCCCCGGCCGGCCGGCCGGCCGGCCCCAAACGGTCGGTCAGTTAATCGGTCGATCGGTTCGTTGCTTGCTCGCTCGCTCCTGTTGCTATGAGACCTCTCGTATCACCGCCAGCGAATATTATCGTAATATACGTGTTCTGCCGGCAGATCTTCACCGTCATCACGAAATTCCATGGAACGATGATGAGCTGCTTGGAGGCGGCGGACATGTTCCACGCCTCCGTTTTTCTCGAAAATACGCGACAATAGAGTCGTACGGAATGCACGCGAATGTCCTTGTCACACACTCGTCCGTCGTCGTTGGATGACCGAGCGACGAAAATGTCTTTGGCACATCGGGCGTCGTTACTTGCGTTCGCTCGCTGGTTTGAGAATCGATTCTATGCCGAACGCGTCGAAAAGGGTGTGGCGTGTAGTGGCGGTAGCGGCAGCCAGTTTTCGCACAAGTCCGTTGTTTTTTTTAGCGATAAAAAAAATCTTTAAATCTGTATGGTTTTGACGATGAATTCGTTCTCTTGATGTCTGCACATGCGAGTATGAAGGTAACTAGCAGGAATTCTACGACGGTGAATCATGCTTCGCGTTGTTGGAGACAGTTATGCCCACGTGTCGGTGGCACCGAAATTGGAGTTCCGAAATTCTAGCGGTTTCGTCCAATGCTGCCTTGTGTTTCTCTCGAGAAGCCATACCTACCTACAATGGTTTTTTGGCGACGGCAACGATGACGCTTAACATGGCCGCGTTCTATCGACTCCCCGGACACGGGCCATGCAGCGCGTTGTTGCATCGTGATGTAGAAATGGTACAATTAATTATTTTCATCAGCAATCGTGAGGATTCTTGATAACTGAACACGATTTGGTTCGGAACATCGATTTGATGTAAATTCTGGAGAACGTTTCTTTCCATGGCGCTCAATAAATGGATAAACAGAATTTTTAGGTTATTTTAATGACAGTCACGTAGGCAGTAGGCACGAGAGAGAATGCGTGATTTTGCAGGATATGCGTATATATTTCAATCCGAATATTAAAAAAAATATTCCAATAATTTTCTTACGTTGATATTATCAGTATCGTTCACCTTCAGATTAAAGTTGCTTATTTACTTTTCAAATTACTTGTTCTTTGAGTTATAATTTCAGTTGAATATTGGAGCTCTTAAGGGGATACTGCAACGATGATTGAGCTTGATCAATGTCGATAAAACTGATTCTAAAGTAAAACATTAAGTATAACATATACATACGTTTCATGCTTGTTGTATCCTATATATTGCATGAATGCAAATGTATACACTCAGATTGTGCTTTTCCATTAAATTCTCTTATAAGCTTCAAAATCATAATTTTCATTATGTTTTAATTGTCAAGTTATTTAAATGTGAAAAACTTTTCGTTATATATGTGCGTGCGTGCGTGCGTGCGTGCGTACTTGGAATCACGTATTTATGTCGTGTAAAGAAATTATCTATGTGGTAGCAGGAATCTGTAATTTATACATATTTTTTCATATAGATTCGTAGTTTCCTGCAGCTTTTTGTGTTTTTTTCTTTTATTCTGGAGAGAAGGACTTTTCTATTCTATAATTTCTGTATAAGAAAAACGAAAAAATGGAAAAGTACGAAATACTCATTTCGTCGATATTGCAGAACAGTATCCTCTTAAGGCGACCCTACATGGTCAATAATACTAATCAGTAATATTAAATCAGTAATACTGACTGTGTATCAATATTTTTACAACCTTATACGATCAGTATTATCGACAATGTTTCACTTTAATTCTGCGTTATCTAACGTACTGTGACATACTGTGACATGAATTTTAATAAAGAAAAAGCACGTATTACTCTATAATATTAGCATTATTTATAAAAAAAGAACGAAACGTAAACGATGGTTTAATATATCTACTTTTCAAGGTTATTTTGTCC